ACTTTGTTATCGTTATTATTTCTAGTTATTAGGTTTATTATCATGATCATTATTATGATCATTATTGTTATCATCATTATCATTATCATTATTACTATTCTCATTATCATTATTATCGTTATAACAATAATAATAATGAGTTTATTTCCATTACCATTGTTGTTGCAATCATCATTATCGTTATTATGATTATTATAATTGATATCATGATCATTATTGCTTTCATTATCATAATCACCATCACTGACGTTGGCATTGTTTATAACTATAATTTTCGGGTCAACATCAGCATCAGCACCATCTTTGTTTTTTATCCATTTTTTTATTTTATATCTATTATTAGTATTATTTATTATTGTTATTTTTTTTTTTATTTATCCTTATAAAGAATTTCTTAAAATCTTTATTTTATCATCTCATCTATATATATAATATATATATATATTATATATATATATATATATATATATATATTATATATATATATATGTATATATATATAATATATATAGCTATATATATATATAGTGTATGTGTGTGTGTGTGTGTGTGTGTGTGAATTACAGTCGTTATTAACTTAAATACCAAAACGAAATGAATGCAGTTATAAATCATAATACAATAATTAAGAAATGAGAATGTGTTTAATAAAAAAAAAAAAAATACACGAAAAAGTTACCAGTTATGGTCACTAATTATCTTTTTTATTCATTTTTTTCCTTGGTAATTGTTGTTATAAACAATTGTGTGTGTGTGTGTGTATGTGTGTATTTTTTCTTTCTTTCATTCTTTTTCTTTTCTTTTCTTTTCTTTTACTTTTTCTTCTTCTCCTCCTTCTACTTTCAAATATGTTTTTCTCATTATTCCTCATTCGTTTTCCTAGGAATTTTAGGATGATTCGAAAAACATATATAAATAGACATCTTTTAAACGCATAAGGTTGAAAATTAAGATATATATTTGATCTGATCATCGGATATAAATTAGTGATAAAGCGTATATAGACATTGTCTTTATTATAATTATTAACATCATATTCATGATTTTTGGGTCATTATTGTTATCATAATTGATATTATTGTTATTACTATTGTTGTTGTTGTTGTTCCACCTGTTTTTTTTCGGATGTTATTATTTTATTGATATTGCTAGGAACATTGAACATTGTTATTATTATTATTATTGTAATCATGTTATTATTGTTATTACTGTTGTTGTTGTTCCAGTTGTTCTTCTTATTGTTATTGCTAGGAACATTGTCGTTATTATCATTATTGTTGCAATCATAATCAAGTTATCATAGATACGTATCAAGGCATATGTTGCATAACTCGAAATACGTGCAAGTGACAGTGACAAATTAATCTCTTAAACGAAGATAAAAGATAGCCCTATTAATGAAAGCGATGAGATGATAACCCATTTAATTGATAAAAAAATAGTTATTTTACATTTTTTTATTGATACGTATTTTATTTTCAGAATGAGGATAAACATGGCGATAACTTTCGTCTGTCTCGCGTTCTTGGCTGTAAGTAGATAGATGTCGTAAGTTGCTTGGAAGTAAAATGATGTCTGTCTGTCTGTCTTGTTGATTATAAACATTATGGCTACAGATATGAGAAGAATTATAACATCACGAATTAAAATCAGATGCAGGCTGATGTAACACTGCTTATAAAATACACTCAAAAAAACACACACACGCGCATACACACAAACAAACACAAACACATACACACCCACACACATACACACACATAGACACACGCACAAACACATACACTCACGCAAATACACACAAACAAACACAAACACATACACACCCACACCCACACAAACACATACACACAAACAGACACACGCACAAACACAAACACTCACGCACATACACACAAACACACACACACAAAACACAAACAACACACATACACACACGCACAAACACATACACTCACGCACATACACACAAACACTCACGCACATACACACAAACACAAACACACATACAACACAAACAGACACACGCACAAACGCAAACACTCACACATACACACATACCCACACACCCACACCCACACCCACAACCACACACACATACACACACACACACACACAAACACACACACACATCCCATAAACAGAACTCTCTAAAACAGCACAAACCACAGCAACCCACTCCTTCCCCTCGCTGCAGGTGGGCGTGTGGGGCCACGGGCGGCTGATGGACCCGCCCGCGAGGAACGCCATGTGGAGGCTGGGCTACCCGAACCCCGTCAACTACAACGACAACGAACTCTACTGCGGAGGATTCGTGGGTGAGGCTCGAAACGTATTTTTTTTTTTTTTTTTTTTTTTTTTTAGGGCTCAGGTGTCTAATTTTTGCGTCTTTTTTATGTTTTTTTTTATAAGTATATTGGTTCTTATATTGCATTTTATTTTTTTATTTTTTTATTATTATTTTTTTAAGGCTCAGGTGTCTAATTTTTGCGTCTTTTTTATGTTTTTTTATAAGTATATTGGTTCTTATATTGCATTTTATTTTTTATTTTTTTATTATTTTTTTTAAGGCTCAGGTGTCTATTTTTGCGTCTTTTTTTTTTTATAAGTATATTGGTTCTTATATTGCATTTTTTATAAATTTTAGCTTTAAATAACTATTATTGTTTCTTAAGTGTTTATAAGTATATTGGTTCTTATATTGCATTTTTTTTAGCTTTAAATAATTATATTGTTTCTTAAGTGTTTATAAGTATATTGGTTCTTACATTGCTTTTTTTTAGCTTTAAATAACTATATTGTTTCTTAAGTTTATAAATATATTGGTTCTTACATTGCATTTTTTTTTTTTAGCTTTTTAAATAACTATTGTTTCTTGTATTGCATATTTTATTTTTTTCATCTTTTTAGGTTCAGATAAGTATATTAATATTGTATTGAATGTTTTGCATTCGTATTTAATTTTTCATTTTTTATCATTTTAAGATCAAATAAGTATATTGGTTTTTGTATTTATTCTATTTCTGTCATTTTAGGCTTAGATAACTCTATTGGTTCTGGTATTGCATATTCTATTTTCATCATTTTAGGCTCAAAAACGTATAGAATTGCTCTTGCACTACATATTCTATTTTATTATTTTAGACTCAGATAAGGATATTGTTTTTGTATTGCATTATTTTCTTTTTCATTTAGGCCTAGGTAATTATTATTATTTTTTTTGTATTGCATATTCTATTTTCATCATTTTAGGCCCAGATAATTATTTTGTTTCTTTCATTGCATATTCTATTTTCATCATTTTAGGCCCAGATAATTATTTTGTTTCTTGTATTGCATAATTTAATGATATCGACAGTTAGTATGGAAACTGAATGAGCGATCGAAATAGGCCTATCACAGGTATTATCGACCATAATTACTACTCTCATATGGGTGAGATTCGCAGCGCACCTTTACGTCTCTCATTTTTATTTTAAGTTTCGGGATCAGATAAGTATATTGGGTCGCAGTTTTTTTTTTTTATCACATTAGGCTGAAATTAGTATAAAGGTCCTTGCACTGCATATTTTATTTATCATTTTTAGGCTCATAGAAGTATGTTGGTTCTCGCATTGCATATTCTGATTCCTATCATTTTAGGCCCACATAAATATGTTGGTTCTAGTATTCTATGTTCTTACGATATAAATAGTCAGTTTGTAATAAGAATGAGCGATCGAAATAGATATAATTAGCCGGTTTGTTCAAATTTTGCGAGGCTCGACCCAGTGAACATTCGTATAAACAGACATGCATATACACAGCAATATATGCATGTCTATCTATCTATCAGATATACATAGATCTATCTATCTATTCGTAATTATATATATCTAGACTGACTAATATGTCTCTCTCTCTCTCCCTCCCCTCTTCCCCTCCTCCCCCCTCCTCCTCCTCATCCCCCTCCTCCTCCTCCTCCCCTCCTCCTCCTCCTTCCTCCCCCTCCTCCTCCTCCTCCCTCCTCCCTCCCTCCTCCCCCTCCTCCTCCTCCTTCCCCTTCCCCTCCCCCTCCTCCCCTCCTCTTCCCCCTCCCCTCCCCTCCCCCTCCCCTCCTCCCCCTCTCCCTCCTCTCCCCCCCTCCTCCTCCTCTCCCCTTTCCCACACTTCAATTTTGAATGTTCTGTAAATACACATGTCCGTATAATGAATGTTCATCGGTTCATTGCACAATCTGAACAACCGGGTCGGATCTCACCAATCAGTTTGTAATATGAACGATCGATCCAAACAGACACAATTGGCCAGTTTGTTCAAATTGTGCATATACGGCCATGCATATTCTCAGAATTGAATACATACCCGTCTATCCATCTATTAGATTTTCAGGTATCTATCTATCCATCCGGTAGATAAGCATGACTAGATTGAGAGACATGTATTTATTTCGGTATATATGTATATCCGTATATATGAATATTAATTAGGTCGGTCTTGGCATAATTTTAACAAAATAGACGAATATCACATTTATTATAGACCATAATTACTACCTTCTTATATGTAAATAAACGACGGGACAAGAAATAAATAATGATAATAATTGACGAAGGAGATAAGATTGGCAGATAGACTTGGGGTAGAAATGATATATGTAAAGTAATATTGGTAGATGGGGAGATAAGTAGATAGATAGATAGATAGGATGATAGATAGGGAGATAGATGATAGATAAAGATGATAGATAGGGAGATAGGTAGATAGATAGATAGAGATGATAGATAGGGAGATAGATAGATGATAGATAAGGAGAAAGGTAGATAGATAGATTGATAGATAAGTAGATAGATAGATTGAATGATTGATTGATAAAAGGATATGATGGATAGATAGATAGATTGATAGGAGGAAAATAGATAGGCAGACAAACAGATAGATAGACTGATAGGTAGGTAAACGGAAAGGCAGATAGATTGATAGACATAAAGCAAATAGATAGATAGACAGATTGATTGATAGATAGACAGATTGAATAGACTGACTGATAGAGAAATAGATATGGTTATGTAAATGTGTTTAAAGAGAGAAAAACCAACAGACAGATAGATAAATACATAGATTAGATAGATAGGTATAGTCATAGCAGACAAATTAAGCAGATAGATATAGTCATAATAAGTAGACAGGTGGATATAGTCATAATAAACAGACAGATTAACCAGATAGATATCATGATAATATATAGACAGGTAAATAGATATAGTCACAACAAAAAGAAAGATTAAGCAGATATAGTCACAACAAACAGTAGGTAGATAGATAGATAAAGTCACAACAAACAGATAGGTAGATAGATAGATAAAGTCACAACAAACAGATAGGTAGATAGATAGATAGATAAAGTCACAACAAACAGATAGGTAGATAGATAGATAGATAGATAAAGTCACAACAAACAGATAGGTAGATAGATAGATAGATAAAGTCACAACAAACAGATAGATAGATAGATAGATAAAGAGATAGATAGATAGATAGAAGAACACAACAGATAGATAGATAGATAGATAAAGTCACAAAAACAATAGATAGATAGACAGATAGGTAGATAGATAGATAAAGTCACAACAAACAGATAGGTACATAGATAGATAAAGTCACAACAAACAGACAGATTAAAGAGATAGATACAGTCATAATAAATAGACAGGTAAATAGATACAGTCACATACGCCAAAAGAGGCAAGCTGACCGTCCCTATCCAGCCTTGGATCTCTATCCCTCGCGCATCGAAATCCCGAAAGAGTACCTAAGAGTACCTGAGAGTACGTGAGAGTTTCCTGAGAGTAACTGAGAGTACCTGAGTACCAGAGAGTACCTGAGAGAGTACCAGAGAGTACCTGAAAGTACTAGAGAGAGTACCTGAGAGTACCTGAGAGTTTCTGAGAGTAACTGAGAGTACCTGCCAGAGAGTAGTACCGAGAGAGAGACTACCAGCGAGTACCTGAGAGTACCTGAGAGTTAAGAGTACCTGAGAGTTTCCTGAGAGTACCTGAGAGTTTCCTGAGAGTACCCGAAAGTACCAGAGAGTACCATAGACTACCCTACCAGAGAGTACCCGAAAGTACCAGAGAGTACCTGAGAGTACCAGAAGTACCCGAAAGTACCATAGACTACCCAAAAGTACCAGAGAGTACCAAAGTACCCGTAGTACCCGAAAGTTGTAAGTTACCTTAACGTACCTGTAATCCCTCTTTCCTCCTCCAGTCCAGTACCAGAAGAACGGCGGGAAGTGCGGCGTCTGCGGAGATAACTGGGCGGATAAGGTGCCACGAGATCACGAAGCTGGAGGGCTCTTCGGCAACGGCATCGTCGGCAGGAGATATGTCGCCGGCCAGGTGAGGAGAGGGGAGTGGGGTGGGAGGGTGGGGTGGGAGGGGTGGGAGGTGGGGTGGGAGGGGTGAGGTGTGGTGGGTTGGGAAGGGGTCAGGGAGTGGTGGGGTGGAGAGGGTGGGGTGGGAAGGGATTGGAGGGGGAGAGGGAGTGGCTGGGAGGGAGTGGGTGGGTGGGAAGGGGTTGGAGGGGCTGAGGGAGTGGGTGGAAGGGGGAGGAGAGGGAGAAGGAGGGGTGGGTAGGGGTTGGAGGGTGGGTAGGGGGTGAGAGAAGAGGGGTTGGAGAGGAGTGGGGTGGGTGGGAAGGGTTGGAGGGGGAGAGGGAGTGGGTGGGGGAGGAGAGGGAGAAAGAGGGAGGGGAGAGGAGGGAGAGGAGGAAGGGAGTGGGCGAGAAGATAGGGATGGAATGGAGGGGAGGGGGAGAGGGGTGGGAAGAAGAACGAGAAGGGGGAAGGGAAGGCAGGGAGGGGTTTGGAGGGAGGAGGAGAGGGACAGGGAGAAAGAAGGGAGGGAGAAGGAAACACCGACAAAAAAATCAATAATAAAAAAAAAAAAAAAAAAAAAAAAAAAAAAAAAAAAATATATATATATATATATATATATATATATATATATATATATATATATATATATATATATATATATATATATATATATATATATATATATATAGAGAAGGCGAGGGGGAAGCAGGACATGAGGAATAAGGATAAAAAATTGAATAGACTGAATATGATGATGTAATAATAATAATAATAATAATAATAATAACAAATTTAATAATAATAATAATAATAAATTAATAATAATAATAATAATAATAATAATAATAATAATAATAATAATAATAATAATAATTAATAAAAGAAAGAAAGGTCACACTCCATAAGCAGCTTTTGACACTGTCTCTTCCTTCGGTTCCAGGTCATCGAAATCGAGGCCGACCTCACGACCAACCATAAGGGCTACATGGAACTCAAACTCTGCCCTCACAACGACCCTAAGACCATCATCACCCAAGAATGCCTGGATAAGTGAGTCTGTTTGTTTAGCTTTATTTTCCATTATTTTGTTTTATTTCATTTATTTGTTTTTATATTTTATCTTTATTCTTTTATCTCTTTTTATTGTTTATCTTTATTCTTTTATTTTTTTTTATCTTATCTTTTTATTTTTTATTTTTTTTTTTTTTGGTGTGAGAATAACATTGATTATTTGGAGATATAAAGGACGGTTGTATTATCCTTCTATGGCGAAGAGATTGATTGTATTTATTGTATTTACGATTTATTTAGAGTTTCTTCACTATAATGTCCTTAGAGGTCGTGATGTAAAAGGAAACTCTGGATATAAAAGAGTTATGAACAAATGGAATTTATTTATTATTAAGATAATGGTTATAATCAAAGGACAAACAAAACAAAATAAAACACAACAAACAGAAAAAAATCACAAATACTCAGAATCATTTGTTTCAACAGCAGCTACACTTAAATCCTCTCTGTGAACGATCACTTGAACATCCAATAACATACAGTTATTTGCCTGACATTAGACAATTGACGTTCACTTGTGTTCAGCGGGGATGGTTACATCAGCAGCAACTCGAGGAGGAGGAGGCGTCTGTTTTGATGATTGTTCAGTGAAAATATAACCCTCCATCCTTTTTTTTTTTATAAAATCATTATTTTCCATCCCTTTTTGAAAAAAAATTGAAGAAACCAAAATGATCGACCATGTAAACAAACCCTCCGCAACTTTTGTGACGTCATCAAAATAAACAGACGCCATGACACCTTCTCGAGTCGCTACTGATCTAGCCTTCCGCGTGGCTTCAGCTTCAAATAATGATTAAAAACCTTCGATATTAACGAATTGGGCGTGGCTTCAGCTTCAAATAATGATTGAAAACCTTGGATATTAACGAACTGGGCGTGGCTTCAGCTTCAAATAATGATGAAAACCTTCGATATTAACGAATTGGGCGTGGCTTCAGGTACCCTCTGATGATCGAAGGCACCCAGGAGTCCCGCTGGGTGATCCCCGAAGACAGCAAGAAGACCGAGATCTTCAAGTGGAAGGTCCAGCTGCCAGAGGGCATCACCTGCACCAACTGCGTCATCCAGTGGAAGTATTTCGCTGGTAAGTCTTTCCGTTTCTCGAAGTGGAATTCATTTCGTTTTTGTGAGAATCCTTGTTTGTTTGTTTGTTATTGTTTTTTTGTTGTTTTTTTTTTTTTTTTGTTTTTTTTTGTTTGTTTGTTGTTGTTTTTTTTGTCTTTTATGTTTTTTTTTTTCGTAAGCTGTACGCGGGGGAAAGAAAGATCCATTGTGGGTATGGGTATATAATTTGGATCATTATTGTGCTTCATTTTCTTATTTCTCCTAGAAGAAGCCTGGTAATATATACTTTATATTTCGAATTCACATGCTTTTTTTGTCGTTCTTCTGACGACTAACCAGAGAAACGCGGTGCCAATTCACCATTTTTCCTCAAGACTTTCTACAACACATATCGCCGCTATTCAGTGTCCCTCATTCATGCCAATAACAAAAACACCCCCTAGCCTCCTCCCTAACGCAAAGACGCCCTAAAAAAAAACATGATAGACCGAGCCCCTCACGCCCCCGCAGGAAACACGTGGGGCACCAACGCCCAGGGCGAGACGGGCCAGGGCAAAGGGCCGCAGGAAACCTTCGTCAACTGCGCCGACGTCACCATCAACACGCAGACGGGAGGCTTCGCAGGATACCCGCCGGAGGACAACCAGATCGACAACCCCTGGGCTCTCTACTACCAGGACGAGTTCCCCGGGATACCCAAGGACGCCAACGCCTCCAAGAGCCCCGGCCAGCTCATTCCCCTCGTCGTCAGGTAGGCCTCGAAGGGGCCGCGGCGGGTCGAGAGCCCGGATGGGAGGGCGGGAAGTGGGAAGTGAAAGTCATGGGTATTTAGAGTATTCACAAGGAAAATCGTTAATTGGCTCTAGAATAGTGGACGGGCTGATTGTCAAACATTCATTTTCATTCATATGCGGCCCATACACGCACGCACATGTGTGTATATATATATGTATGTGTATGTGTGTGTGAGAGAGAGAAGAGAGATGAATATGTATACATATATTTATATATATACATATATATGCATATATGTATATATATATATATTATATATATTATTATATATATATATATATATATATATATATATATATATATATATATATATAGGATGGCATAGATAGCCTGGAAGAGAGCTAAATAGATAGATAATAGATAAATTATCATAGACTTAGTTAGAAAGACTGATAAACAGAGAGGTACTTAAGAGTTTGATATTGACTGTAGCTGTAGATATATAGATACATTTCTAAATAGTTGAGTAGATATATACTTATGTGTGGAACTATAGATATCCCAACAGACTTAAATACGTTATATAGAAAAAAAATAGTCGCTATATATAATTACCTGTCTTAACTATTCAGAAGAATAGTTTTGAAAATTTAATTCAATTAAAAAGATATTGTTTATTTCTTGCAAACACCGAACCGAGAAGTATAAAATGAGAACTAACGTAGATAATCAACATATATATTGCAATACAAATAGCAATAAAGTTGA